ACCAGGAGAGTTCGACAATGTGGAGTAGGCTATTCAATAAATCAGCTTGGAAAAGATGCTATTCCAAAAGTAGAGGAGAAAGGAGCGCTGAACAGGCACGGTTTGATGGCCATACATGAGAAAATGTTTCCATCTGACGGCTTCTGGCTTTCTTTCAGAAAAGTGGGGTAAGGTCATTTGCTAAAAATATTGAAAGGGGTAGAGTAGTCAGTGGGTTGAGATCATTAGTGATTTTAAATAATCTGTATGAAAAATAAAAAGAATTGAAGAGAGTGATGAGAAAGACTGCTGGGCAGAGCTTTAAGCTCATTTGAGACAGAAGACAATTTATTTGGATGCGTACTATTTTCTCATTGTCTCCGGGAATTTTCTTTCCTCCAGACTTTGGTGCAGGGAAGTTATGCAGCTCGTTTTTCCAGGGCTGGCTTTTGTTAGATAAGTACAAGATAAGGGGTAAAGAATAAGAAGCTTAAAATGATGGACCTTGAAACTCAAGCTGCATGGGGAAGAAAATGAAGATTTTTTTCTAGTAATGAATTAACTCATCCATTACCTTTTTTTTATAGGTGCCAGGGATCTAACTCACGACCGTGCACTTGCAAGACAGGCACTTATGCTGCTGAGTTAAATCTCCAGCCCTTGATCCATTAACTATTAAATCAATATTTTTGAGTTCTTATATACTATGTGAACAAAACTGGTTAGCAGCCTGAGACTGTAACTAAGACAGATTCAGCTAATACTTTCACAGATTTTAAAATTGAAAGTGGAGACACATGTTAAGGAATTATTCACATAAAATATTTCCTCCAAATATTTGGAGTAGCACTATGGCAGAGAGATCAGAGGCTGTATGAGCAGCTGAGTGAGAACTGGAAGGGCAAAAGGTGCTGTGAGGGATGCAGTTGGGGTTCCACTTCAGAGGAGAAGCGGTTCTTGGTAAGGATGGGAGAGTGGAGCAGGGATCTTCAGATTGTCACTAGGAAATTGAATGAGATGGGACATTTGTGTGAGACTGATGGTGTGCTACAGTGTGCCATGGTTGGACCCATCTCTGTGGATACTGAATCCCAGAATGATGGCAGGTTTTGAGGTGGAAAAGAACTCAATAAGTTAGAGGAGGAGGACAGGGCAAGCAGTGCTGTCCCTGGCTACTTTAGGGACCTCAAGTTAATACGTAAAAGTATGGAATTTATGAGCCATAAGGCGGATCCAGGAGTCAGATCTATTTTTCTATGTTCAGGTCCAAAGCTATATCTACTTGCTTTATTCATCCCTGAAAGCAGCTTTTTGTAGATTGAAAATCGATGAAATCAAATTTTAAAATGAAGAAAAAAGAGTATGACAGTAATTTTTGCCACCATGAAAGAAGAAAAAAAGAAAAAGAAATCAATAGTGGGCTGCTGCCATTGAGAGATGGACAATTTGGCATAGTTGGAAAGTGTCAGAGCCACCTTTCATTGTGCAACTTCTTATATTATTGAATCTTTTTCCTGTGTGTGTTCCCTGTTGAAAAACAAAAGAAATTGATTGCACAATGCTAATTGGGCTTTCTGGCATTTAACAAATATTTACTGAATAAAATTAACACATAGAATGCGTTTTTGGCATTTTGAGATACTTGAAAATTCTTGATTAGTATAGAAATGCTTTTCTTTGTATAAATTTTTCTTTTATAACATGTTTTGAACTAGACTCTTGCCATAGATTCCAAAATTCACTAGGGCTGAACAAGGACACCCTCATTCGCAAGACACAGCACTCAAAAATTGCTGCAGAAATGAATGACAGAGTCTTGTATGGGGCTCTTCCTAATGTGTGCCTCCGTAGTAGAGGGGGCTGGGTGCTGGCAGGGACAGTTCTGTATTTTAAGTGAGTTAGTAAATCACTGATAAAATGATTTAAGGGAAACCCATGTTACTCTTCTCTTCTGGCTTAGAAACTAGGAAAAAAGATTCTGCCTGCTTTTGAGCTTTGAACAAATAATCTAAATGCCCACAATACTTTTATATTTTAAAAAGAGAAGTAGTTATGAGGAAATGGCATGCACTCCAAAAAAGTTTTCTCCAAGACTCCATCAGGTTGGAATCCTTTTTTTAGCTCTCAGCTGGTCTGCCTACCAGTCACACTAATCCTCTGCCTCAGCTCTGCCTCTCATGTTTGTTGATTTGAGATTGGGGTTTTCAGAGAGAGTCAGCCTCTCTTTCTCCTCAGAGAGTTCTGGAAGTCTTTCCAGCTTCCATCTGGGACACCGTAACAGTCACAAAAAATGGAGCTTGTCCCTCACAGATAGCACTGAAAAGACACACCAACACTCACATCTTCAGTGTGTGCTTGATTGGCTGGGTTTTGTGGCCCTGTTTGCCTGCCCAATTTGAGACAGCGTCACTAGCATAAGAAATCTTATTTTAATCTAGATATCTTCATGAAATCCTCTAGGGATGCTCAAGTCATGGAAGAGCCTCAGAAAACTAGGTCCAGTTGAAAACAGAGAGTCAGACAAACTAAGCATTGAGCTGTTAAATTGGAGGTGAGAATTCTGAGCCCTACCCCTGGGCTGTTTCCATGGCTAAAGGTGGGTCAAAGAAGAGGACTGAGCCTCCTGTCCTCACTCAGCCAAACTGAGGGCCAGTGTTTCACTGTGGCATTTGGTACAAAGGATATCAACAGTCTGTGGTATTATCTCTTTACAGCAGCTCCCTGCTGGATCTAGAGGCCTCCCCCAGACCAGTCTCCATTCCATTTACCCAAACTGAGAGGAAACTGCATGTCTGTGTCCACTGAAGGACAGCGAAGGCCACATGGCCTTACTAGAGACTACAAGATGTTTGTTTATTCTCTTAGGAGTGAACTATATCTTGTCACAGGCACAGCTTTAGAATTGCTGAGAGGAGACGATAGTGACAAAGGTGAAAATCATCTCCCTTTAGCTACGAAAGACGAGAATCAGAAACAGGTAGGCTTATATTTCTCAGTTCTCATCACAGAAGGCTTTATTTTGTGAGATTTTCTCTTCAGGATAATTGCATATTTTCTCAGCAGGAATGACAGGAAAAACAAAGACACCAGGAGTGATTTTTAAGTGACATTTGTAAACACCAAAATGTAGTTCCAGAGGATGGAGAGTTGAGGAGTAAGAGACAATTAAAAATGGGTAACTGATATCCCCACAGATAACACCATAAAGTTAATGAACTCACTTGATCTAACGTGTTTGAGGACAGGGTACAAAGTTTTATTAATTTTCAATCATTTCCCCATATCTAACATGATTTTGGGGTTTGCAAAGTAAATGTTTTACAAAGTTTAGTTCGATGAACATTATTTTAACTGTATCCAATGTTCAGCAGTTCTAAAGCTAAGCAACCTGAGACCTCAGATGCAGTGTCTGGGTTAGTCTTCAGTCTTTGGGTTAGTTATACTTAGCTGTTAGTGTCTAGAAATGCTGAGAACAATGGAGATACTGAGGACAATGGAATTTTAGTCACTGAAAGTAAACTTTAAAATGAATCAGAAAATGTATTATACCTGGGTTTCATACCATATCTCTTACCAGGAGATTTGGTAACTGAAATTGAATTTAAGTTAATAAATTTAAATAGAAGACATGTTTTTAAAAGGTAATTTAGAATAAATGACAAATAGTAATGTTCACTTTTTATGGCTCAGTGACACCTTCATATTATCACAGTTTCCATGGATAGTAGTTAAAATTAGAATATATTTCTTCTCAGAATTCTCATAAAATTACTCTAGTGGACTTGTTCTTGGAAAACTTAATGAGTGCTGAAAAGGGGAGAGGGATATTACAGGGTAATTTGTGCTGATTAAAATAAAACGAGAGAAAATATAAGCAAGTACCGCACTGATTCCCAATGGGAATACTGCTGGAATGGTGTCACCGGCTCATTGGATTTTCTCACACCTTTGGCTGACTTTGTTTAATAAATTTTCTACTGATCCTTGAAGACTCTTATTTGCCTTGGTCTTGTTTAATTGAATTATCAATTATTGTAGAATAAACAAAGATGTGGATTCAGTAAGGTAAGGGACTGCCCAGTCAGCTTCGTGCCCAGAGTTATCAAACTTGGTGTTTAGAATCCCCTTTCTCAAGTCTAGCTCTTTGTTTGTAAAAAATGGATAAAGAAGCTTATGGAGATACTTCCCCATCCTCGCTGAGGACTGATGAACTGTTAGCCTGTACTTAGGATCCTGTTGAGAAATTTGTGACCAATTGGGAAAGTTTACTGAGGACTGATCAGTTGTGAAATTTAGCACCCAGTATTTGGTTCTTAGTGGGAGAGAATTAATGTGGAACTGAATTTCCATGTGTGGAAAAGGACAAGGTATATTCATTACTCTATTCAACAACCCCAAGGCATACACCATTGAAAAGCAATAAGACTCATACTCGACAATCTTAATATCCTATCTCTTTCTTTCCTTACTATCTTGATGTACTTACACTTTAGCCATGTGTGTGTGTGTGCATATGTGTGTGTATAAACAGCTTTCATAAAAGCCTGGATTTTTGCTTAATGTGTGCTCTTAATTTTTATGTTATACTTTTCTCGAGAAAATATATCATGTCTATTCTGTCCCAGCACAATGCAGATGCTCAGCAAATGTTGGCTGACTTGAATCTTCTTTTAACAACAGGGCTGGGAAATCCAGGCAAAGAATGAGTTGTTTTGCTAACACAACTCTTTAAATCTCAGACCATAGCTAAACCGTCTGCTAATTACCCGCTGGGTGCTATGCTTTCAGTGGGGGCTCCCAAAATACACAAAGCTACAGTGAAGGCAGGACACCATTAACACTACATAATTCAAGCAAACAATCAATGTGTTTACTCTGCCTGGCTACTGACCGCCTGCCCTCCTAGCCCACCAGGCAGGTATCTATATATACATCATGTCCTGTTCACAGTCCTGCAGAGTGAGCCTCTCCTTTGAGCCTCCCCATCTGTGGACTTGAAGGAAGTGCTGTCCTCTGACAGCATGCATCTCCTCTTTCTTCATATGCTTGTGCTTCTGCCTCTGGGGAAAGCCAGCTGGCACCTGGATAGCAGCCAGAGTCAGAGTGCTGTTTCCCTCGCGCTCCTAGAAAGGAGTCGCAGAGAGCTCCCCATGGCCAACCATGAGGAAGTTGAGGACAAGCCAGATCTGTTTGTTGCAGTTCCACACCTAGTAGGCACCAGCCCAGCAGAGGAAGAACAGAGGCAGAGAGAGAAGATGCTGTTCAGGTTTGGCAAGTTCTGGAAGAAGCCTGAGAGAGACTTGCCTCCTCCCAGGGACTTGGAAAGTGAGTACAATCCGCTTGCAACCCAAGTTTTCCCGGTGAATGGGATGAAAGTGGAGAAGTCTCCTCTCCGGGAAGAAGCCAAGAAATTCTGGCACCACTTTATGTTCAGAAAGGGTCCAGCCTCTCAGGGTGTCATCTTGCCCATCAAAAGCCATGAAGTGCATCGGGAGACCTGTAGGACGGTGCCCTTCAGCCAGGTATGTATGTGTTCAAGAGATGATGTGAGTAAAGGTTTGTAAGAGCAGGACAGCTGAGACAGGTGGAGGGGAGGGGAAGAGTCTGTTGGGAGCCTGAGTCTCACCTGCCTCCAGACTTGATCCATGGGCATCTATCCCAGGATCTGGAAAAGCATGAGCATATCCCCTGGAGCTCCTTCTCCCCTTCCCATCATTTCTTGTCATGCTGGAGATGCTACAAGAATAGTGTGCTGCTATCATTAATATTAGTAATCATCATATTGATGATATAGGGTTTTTATTATTTATTTATTTTTATGTTGAGAGTATACGGCTATAGCCTCAGTTATAAAATTGGGAATTTAGGGGAATCACCACTCTAGCTATTTTTCTGCATCTATGAGGATGCGTATGAGTAGGTCCATGTCATTTGTAGATAGGGTGGGATACGCTGCACTCCCTCCACACCCTTACATCCAGTTATGATGCCCTTAATCTCTGTATTTTTACATCTAGTTATTTCATAGGTTTATGAAAGTCTTGTGTTGTCAAAGTTATTTAATTTCTAGAAAATTATTCCACAATATCAAAGTATGTTGAGATTGTCAGTCCAAAATTCCCACATTCTTTCTAGCATTATGATGGCAGAATGATTTAGTTTAACTAATTTTCTCATCAATTTTTAAAAAGTAATCTTGACATGAGATGATATCTCCTCACTTACCCTATTTTTGGATTCATGTTGTTTTGGTTGATTTATCATTATCATGACTGGTATCATATTACTTCGTAAGACAAAGGAGCTTTCTACTGCCTAACCCCCCTAATCCTAATTTCACATTGCAAATGTTAAACTGAAACTGACAAAATACATCCAGTCCTTGTATCTGAAGCCACTAAACCAAAAGTAAGGCTAGGTAGAGTAAAATTGTACAGCCTAGTAACACTACCCAATTAAGTAGGCGGTATTTTAAGGGGACTGACTGTGCAAGGCAGTTAAATATTCTTTCTGAAAGGTACAGGGAATGTACCAAATAAAGTTATCAAATTTCTTTTGAAATTTTTATTTTGAATTGATTGCTTATTAAATAAAAGTTAAGATGTTTGACTCATGTTTTGGAAAGCACATAAAACCGTGCATGTGGTTATGAGAGAGGAAAAGATGATGTGTTATGCACATGTATTGCAATTTTGCTGCATGAAACTTTGTAGATTTGAATGCACTGCAGTCTCTGAAAAATCAGATACAATTAAACTCATTCTGGTCTGCTCTATGATCAATTGAACAAATATGTATTGAGAACTTGCAATGTACAGTATGCACAAAGAAAAGAAAGGTAAGTCACAATACTCACATGATTGCCATTAGTTGGTTATATACCACTAGGCAAAACGTTTTAATTTGATGCTTGTAGTATAAACTATAAATTTTCATGTTAACTTGATGGTTTTCTACGGTTTAATTTATAATTTACTCAATAAATTACATTTAGTTGACAAGGCTTTTTGCCCTAAGATCACTTGATAATGTATCCAAAGTTGCAAAGGTTTGAAAATTTTACTGGAAATTACCCTGACAAACACACTATAGCTTCTGCATCATACAAATTAGGGGAATGACTCAAGATAATGGAATGTGTTTGCCTTTCAGATGATCACCCATGAGGGTTGTGAGAAAGTAATTGTTCAGAACAACCTTTGCTTTGGGAAATGCAGTTCTGCTCATTTTCCCGGATCTGCACCGCGCACCCACAGTTTCTGCTCCCACTGTGCACCTGCCAAGTTCACCACGATGCACTTGCAGCTGAACTGCACCGGTCCCGCCCCTGTGGTCAAGGTAGTGATGCAGGTGGAAGAATGCCAGTGCAAGGCAAAGGCGGAACACGGTCACTGGTGCCTCCTACACTCTGGCTCCCAGGATTCCTTTATCCCAGACATTTCAACTTAAGAAGCGATTCCACTATTGTGCTGAAAGACAAAATCACAATAGCAAAAGTGATAGTGATTCAATCTGAAGGTGCTAAGTGGGTAAACAATGTTGAAAGGAAGGTATTCTAAAAGATGCTTTCTGGGTTATTGGTATATGGTTGGAATCTAGTCTTGGCTGTGGAACTAAGTGGTTGTGGAATACTAATATGTTTGAAAACTTTTTCTACCTGAAGTTTTTTAAATCTATGTACCGGGGATCGAACTCAAACTCATGACTGCCTGCTTGCAAGGCAGGCGCTTATGCAGCTGAGCTAAATCCCCAGCCCCCAGTTTTTTAAATCTATAAATGAGGAATTTGACTTGGGTGATTGCTAAAGTTCTTTACACTAAAGTTCACAATCCAGCTTCTCTGGTTTTGGTAAAAATCTTCTATCTGAAGAAAATGAACCATAAAAAATGAACTTTTTAATAGTTTGACAAATAACCAGAATGAAAAAAGCGAAGTGTTCTCAAAGAATCCTTCATTATTTTACCTGCCTCTGTGACTCAGGAAATGCTGTGTGTGTGTGTGTGTGTGTGTGTGTGTGTGTGTGTGTGTGTTGCGGCGGGGGTTAAACTCAAGAGTCTTCACACTGAGTTATATCCCCAAAGAGCCATTTGTTTGTTTGAGTTGCTAAATTGCTCAGACTGGGCAGGAATTTTGTCTTATCTGCCCCAACCTCCCAGAGTGCTGGGATTACAGTCACTAGCGCCACCATGCTTAGCTATCTCTCAAGGGATTCTTTTTCATAAGTGTGAGAAGTAATTCACTTGGTTGCTTTTTCTTATTTCTGGTACTCCCCATAAAGTTCTTAATGCCACTTCTTTGACTTTGAAGAAAGAACACTAGTGCTACTTTTAGCAGTTTAGAGAGAGAGAGAGAGAGAGAGAGAGAGAGAGAGAGAGAGAGAGAAACACAATAGTAGCCAAATGGGTATTTATATTATGAGGAAGGGAAAATATATAACCAGTACCAAATTTACAGGTCACTCCTGAGATCTAGTGAAAATAAGCAAGAAATTCAGTGGGGTCAAATTAAATGGCTAATGATTTAAAATTAAAATACCCACCTATCTTTTGAATCAGGTAGTAAAGAAGCTTTCTGTTCTTCGATGCTTGTTTTTACTTTTGTATAAAACATTTGACAAATTTTATTCAGCAAATGCTAAACGTTCTGAAAATATGAATCTTTAAATGTATTAAATATTAGTATAAGTAGTATTCTGGGAAGTATTGTGGTGCAAATGTAAATGTCCTATATTTTGCCCTTATTTGTTTTGCCTGTCTCAAGCAAAGAGTACTTTGGGGAGATTAGTTACAAGCATTATGAAATGACTTCATGGGTGTATGAGCATGGTCCATGTGTTTCTTTGACTTCACAAACCGCCTTCTGTTTAAGTCTTTCAATCACTGATGTTTAGTAATTGCCTTTCTCCTGCCTGTATTTATTTGCATGCATATATCATGCAGAATTGACTTTCCCCAGCCAGATTACTTGTTTGTAACAATTCTTCAAAGATTTGTTGTAATAAATTACTTTAGATCTTTTAATTTCAGTATACACATACACAAATATTTCCAAGTGTAATGACTAATTATTTTTAAAGAAATTAATTTATATTTTAATTCTGTTCCTCTTTAATTATACCATCTAACATGATGTTCTGAAGAAGCAAATGCATTTATATTTAGTATATATTATGCAACACATCAATATAATATGAGCTACACAGATACATATGGGGCATTTACAACAGAATATATTATACCCTTTGGTGGTCAAAGACAACTTAATTGGCCAAGATGTGGTCATAAGGATAAAATTGTTAAGCATTAATGATATCCCAGCTGGTCAATATATTTTGGTGCCAAAAGCTATTGAGCAGCTGTCTAGTTTGCAACTGCCTAAACTCTGATTATGTAAACCTATCTGCCAATTGAAATTTCTACTCCTCTTTACATCCTTGCAAATCCCTTTTATCTATACTTGCAAATTAATTTTGAAGCCCAAGCTCCAAACAATTATCTTTTATTCAAACTCTGATCTGCCCTTCCCTCTCATGTAAATTCCAGATGGACTAGCCTATAGCAGGGTCGGAGCTTACATTCATGGAGTAAATGCAAAAACTTCATGAAATTGGCCATTGACAAGCATTTTTATCCCCAGAAAGGACAAAAGTACCAGGTATTATACTGTATCTTTCAAAGACAGTATGTAATCTAATCCTTGCTAAAGGTATATGAGTTAGGTAATCGGCCTACTTTACAGATGAGGAAGAGGAGGCTTAAAAAATTTAAAAACTTGCGTAAGGTCATAAGAAGCATATTTTCTATTTGTATTCCATCAATTTAGATTTAAGCCCCCCAGGTCTCTTACCTTTAGACCTCAGAACTAATTTTATTTAACCTCTTCATTGTCATATTTGAAGTGTAGTGAAGTCATCTCTTAAAAGAAAATCTATTTCTAAGTCAGTTTCAGCCAAACTTGCCCAGACTTGGATTAGTCCATGAAGCAAGCCTTTTCATAAATCTTAGTCTCATTTTCTTCTCATAAAAATTAGGTTGATAATAATTACCTCAAAATTATTATGCTACTCCAGGATGGATAATAGCACATCAGAGAGTTTTCAATCCTATAATACCATAGGGGTTAAGTCACTCTTTTCATTCAGAGTTTCTTTTTTTAAATTTTACTTTTAGAAATGTAAAAGATGGGCTGGGGACTTAGCTCAGTGGCCTAAGTGCCTGCCTGGCAAGTGTGAGGTCATGAGTTCAATGCCTGGTACCAAAAAATAGAAATGTAAAAGACAAACTGATACTTTTATCAAGCGCTCAAATACCTATCAGAATAGATATTTTGCCATCTTTTTCATTTAGTCTATTTTTTAAAAGATATAAACTATGTCAGACCTCTCTCAAACCCTTGCCCAATTTCTATTCCACTGCCTGAAGGTTTTTATTTATCCTTTCAATCCTCTATTGTAGTTTTGCAAACTTATACACATATCCATAAGTAATACACAATGTTATCTTTGTACATTCCTCTTTTCAGCCTCTGCAAGATACAGCTCTCGAGACTGTACATCCAGCAAGGGACCTGGTCAGACAGGATCCTGCTCCTGTGCCACTTCCATTTAGTGCAGAGAGGCATCAATCAATCAGTGGAAAGGGGAAAGTATCAGATGGCTTCAAGTGGTATGCAGATAATTCCAATAGGGAAGAGTGACAGGGATTGATTGCTTTAGATTGAGTAGTCTCTGAAGCCTGCATTAAAGCTGTGCATTTTAATCACCTACACGAATGTTCTGCAGTGGCTTTTGCGTTTTTCTCTCGCTTAGGATTCTGGGTTGTCTTTAGAACAATTTTTAGAGGTTTTAAAAAAATATATCTTATTATATTCTAGAAACGTACTAAATATTTTCCACAGCGTATAGTTAACTACATTATTAATTTAATTTTCTCAGTGTTCACATTTTTCTTTTTCTTTTTGGTATTCAATGTCACCTGTTTATTTCTTGCACACATTCATCACTGGCTGGACCAGAGCAGTCACTCCCGGAATAAGGATGTCTGAGACCGAGAGAGAGAGGACATGGCAAACAGTGCAAGATTTCTCTAGAAGTAACACAAAATGACTTGTGTCATATTTAATTGACCAAAGCAAATCATATGTCAAACCTGATTTCAATGGGGTTTTGAATTGTAGTCCTCTACCAAAGTGGGATACATAATTTCTTTAAATTGTCAGTTGAATTCCTAACTTAAAATGTCAATTATTCTCTGAATTTTTAGAGACTATTGTATGCAAGACATTGTGCTAGTAACATTTAGATATTAAAAATTAAATAAGATGTATTTCTTTTCTTTTTTTAAAATCAAGAATCAAATATAGTCTTGCACTTGCCAGGCAGGGGCTTATGCCGAGCTAAACCCCCTACCAAATAAGATACAGTTCTTACCACCTCAAGCCTTATATAACAGGAGACGTTTTATGCTGTCTCTCCCTTTCCTCCTCTCTCACAGGATACTGACAAAGTAGTTCATTCATTTAGGCTACAGTATTTATGTGTGACTGCCATGTACCAGTCACTACATTGGGTACAAAGATAAGAATGAATTGATAATTATCTGAATATACTGCCTGTCCTTAGAAGCTTACCACCCATTATCAAGCAATCGCATAGCTTCACTTCCCATTTATTCTCCCGGATAAAGTAGGATGAGGAACTGCTTACCACATCTGGTTCCCAGGCTCAGACCTCACTTTCTAGTAAAGACTTTCTTCAGTCCAGCAAAGCCAGGCTCACCTCCTACATAATTTCATGGTGCTGCATATCTTTACTTTATAGCACTCACTTCACAATTATAATTTTATGTGTGTAATTGATCGAACTGTAAACTCCATAAGAACAGAGGTCATGCTGAATTTTCTTTCATCATTATCATTAATTCCTAGTAGGTACTCAGTAAACAGTTTTCATTTGCATGTAAAAATCATGTCAACAGATACCATATACCAAGTATGTATCATGTGTCAGACATTGGACCAAGAACTAGTTAAACGTTATTTCATTTAATCTTCATAAAAGCATATGAAGGAATACCATACCATTTTATGGGTGAGGATGATAAAACTCATAAAAATAACTTTCCCAAAGTGTCACTGTTAGGGAATAGAAGTTAAATTACTCAAAATATATGATATGTAGCTGGGTGTAGTGGCGCACTCCTGTAATCCCAGCACTTGGGAGGCTGAGGCAGGCGGATCACTGCAGGTTCAAGACCATCCTGGGCTACAAAGTGAGCCCAAGGCCAGCCTGAATGGCATAGTGAGAGCCTGTCTCAAAAAGACAAAAAAATAAGTAAATATACAGGTTTTTTATATGCACATATGCATATAAATATAATCTTGCACATACATATGCAACGTAAAGTCTGTCCTTTCTCTAAGTCCTGGAGACCATTATCCATATCTGTTTTAAGTTACCTATGGCAGTAAGAATGCTTTCAACTCAAGAACCAGAAAACACAACTCAACCATAAGGAGGTTTATCGTGTCGTGAAAAAGTCCAAAGTGCAGCTAGCTCTCTTTGCTGTTCCGCCACTGCCAGCGTATCTTCCACAAGCTAAAACTTTCTGTCACAGCACGAATGCTGCACTGTGTTTCACTCCTCACACATCAACCTCCTTACTACAGAAAAGGAATTCCCGCCTCCTCATTTCCCTTGCAAACATCTGAATGAAATCAATTATGCCCAGGAAATTAAAAAATGAGCCAGAATCTGTTTCAGACTGAAAGGAATAAGAAAATGGCTGAAGGGGGTCGGGTATCAGTGTGTGCCACGGCTGACACTACTTTTTATTTTGTTTCATGACTTATTTATCTGTCTTTCTTTCTAGGTTGTCAACTCTTTAACAGCAAATCCTGCATAAATAAACATCTGTGCTACCTTTCTGCTTGTAGCGTACTGTTTTCTGTTTTATATTTACCTATATACATAAATATATACAAGAAATGTATGATTTTCATGTTTTATAAGGCACAAATATTTGATTTGTATAAGCTAAATAAATGAATTTCAGGAGCAACATTTGGAAGAATAGGTCACATACATGGTGTGGGGAGTTTTGAATAGCAGCCTATGGGTTTTAAAACATATTTGGTCTGCAGTGTGGAGTTGTAAAGCAGATTAGGATGTTGTGGGTTATACCAATATTTTCACAGGGACCCATGAGCCCCCTGAAACATGCGAATATGTGGAAGTTCAGGAGAGGAAAGATCCTGAATTTTCGAGTGTTTCTCAGAAGTCTCCATGAGCAAAAGTTGTAGCAGTAGGCATAATTAGTTGCAATGGAGAGAAAGCACAGAGGCCAGAAGAGCTGGAAATAGCTTAGAAATCATGTATACAAAACTTGTACAACAGGAACTTGGCAAAGTCAAGTTTTTGTGTATTTTAAATACACACCAGTGTGTCTTCATATTGTTTCATTTGCTTTACACATGCAGAGATTGCATTTTTGCTTAAATTTATTTTAGAATACAGTTGTAGCACATGCCATGTGTGGATTGATGCATGCACATAACACATCCCGGTTCCCCTTTCATCCCCTTTTTCTTCCCCTGCCCCTCCCCAACATTCTCGATCCCTTTCCTCTTTGAGAAAGATTGACCCTCATACTTCCTTATTTTGCTCTATTTGTAACTTTAGTTTCTCATGTAAATCATCTACTATTCAAGCTTATGTGTCTCATTTATTTTATGCAATATTATGTTTAATCTAAAGTCCACATTCAGGAGTTTGCAATGGTAAAATAGATGAGTAATAATATCCTGAGCAAGGACAGATTTTCCAGTAATACTAGTTTTCTAAAGCCAAGCCTTACTCACCCACCCACATTTGCAGAATAGGACTGGATTTTCTTTTTATTGCTTTCCTTTCTCTTATCCTGTCTCCTTTCCTCCAAAGGAAATAATCACCAGTGACCTACCTGTGGGTGGAGTTTTGGATTAATCCTTTTCAAGGAAATTGTCACAATTTCCTCCTGTCTCCCAGCTATGGGAGTCCCACCTCTCTCATGACAAATAGCCAAGAAACAAGAATTTCCACTAAGCAAATTTTATGTATCATAATCATATCATGAGAAAGAAATCTAAGTCCTGCCCAAACTTGAGGCAACAAGAAGGTGAAAACTTAAAGGGATAGACAGATCCTACATCACAGTTTAGCTCAGTAAGGCTTGGAAATCACTCGCC